CAGAAACTTCACCACTTTAAGCAAATAATTCAGTGGCACTGAGTACATTCACAGTTGTACAACCATCTCTTCTCTTAAAATATTTCATCAGCTCGGAAGCAGACATTGCCCTTTCTAGGCAGTCTCTCCTCACTCCTCCTTCCCCCAAGCCCTGGCAACTCTAGTTTGTCCATCTCTGTGGATGTGTCTGTTCTGAACTCTTCATGTAAGTCAGGTCTTATATGACTTAACAATGTAACTTCTTTTACCTGACATGACTTGGGTCTTCATGTCGTAGCGTGTATCAGCGATTCCTTCCTCTTTGTTTTTGAGTAATATTTAATTGCATATGGATATACTTCATTTTGTTTATAGTGTCATCCACTGGTGGACATGTGGGTGTTGCCACCTTTTGACTATTGTGAATATTGTTATTGTAAATGTTGACCTATGAATTTTCGTTTGGATAACACTTCCATTATTTTACATACGTATTTAGAAGTGGAATAGATGAGCGATATGGTAATTCTATGTTCAACTTTGTAAGGAGCCACCAGAATATTTTACCAACATGTTTGTAACATTTTACATTTCCACCAGCAACATGCAGGACCTCAAATCTCCATACCTTCAGCAACACTTGTTATTTCTATCTCTTTTTTTGTTTGTTTGTTTTTTGATAAACTTCCTAGTATTTGTAAACCAACATCTCACTGGGGTCTTGATTTTTATTTCCTGAATGTTAATTGTGTTAAATCTCTTTCCATGTGATTGTTGGATGTTTTTGTATCTTGTTTGGAGAAATGTCTATTAAAATCTTTGCCTGTTTTTCTGTTGTTGTTTGACTTTGGATTGATGAATGTCTTTTATATGTTCTGATAATGAACCTTATGAGGTGAGTGATTTGCAATTATCATTTCCCACCCCATTGAATAAATGTTTTAAATTTGGGTGAAGTAAGTAAGTTATTTATAACTTATTTTTAAAATAAGTAGTTGTGTGTGCATTTGGTGTCCTATCTAGGAATCTGTTGTCAAATCCAAGGTCATAAAGATTTATTCATATTTTCCCTAATTTTACCTTTATCTATTTATTGATTTATTTTCAATGTATTTTAAAAAAGATTTAATTTATCATGCGTACAGGACTGGGTTATAGGCCAAAGATGCAGGGGCAGTGAGAGACAGAGTGGGGAGCAGAACAAGCAGATTGTTGAAATACTCTTCTGAGGGGATCAGTGGGTGAGACAGTAGAGGTCCGCTGCATCATGTGGTCACCGCCAGTGCCAGGGATCAAACTCACACTGAAGAGGATAGCTTGCAGTGCTGTGTCCTAATCCACTGTGCCACCCGGGAGGGCCCAATTTTAGCTTTGAAATTTAGATCTATGTCCTAAAACAGTTCATTTTTTTGTGTCTCAAAAGGTAGGGCCCATTTTTCTCCTCATGTATGTTTATCCAGTATCCGAACACCACATGTT